GTGCTCAAAGAGCAGTGAATTTTAAAATGAACCTTGAGGGATAAATAGGGCTTCTGTACAATAAGAGAGACAGGTATTCCATTTAGAAGGGTCTTTGGTAGGGTTAGGCACAGAGACATGAAAATTCCCCCCTCCTAGAGCACACAGCTTCTTAGTTCCTTAGTTTAAGAGAAAGAATAGTGAAGTGAAATGAACAAGTATAGAAACTAAAACATAATTGTTTCTGTCTCCTGCCCATCATAGAATGCCATATTTCTCAGAGTTCTTACTATACCTTCTAAATTTTTTTTGGCTCTAACAACATCAGTAGGTGGTGATCCCCTTATCATACAGCCAAAGAAATATTCTGGTCCAAGGTCCATTAATGGAGGATCTTGGGTTAGGACTTGACTCCTATCTGGTTGACAGTTCGTGCAACGTGAAGTGAAAAGCAACTGATTGCCTTCTTCAACTAGTTAAGAATATTTCCACAATGGCTTTCTAGATCTAAGTTTTTCATATTGTTTTTTTTTTTTCTTAATTGGCCATATCCACCTGCCATTTATTGAGAACCTATCCTACTACACACTCTACTGAGTTGACCACATCTATAATTTCACCAGTTTTTACAACAACTCTGTGGTAGGCGATGTTGTTGTTATTGCTGTTATTTTATAAATGAGGAAACAATTGCCTAATTTGTCCAAAGATATTCAATAAAAAAGAGGCAGTGCTAGAATTTAGAATCTGGTTTACATGATGTCAGTGCCCATGTTCTTTCAGCTCTGTTATATTTCTGAAATGAAATCTAAACAAATGTGCAAGTCCATCTTCTAATTGTGCTTCCTCTGAGTTATCTATATAGCAGGGACATGTTATGCATAATTGTTTACTCACTGGAAATTTCATCTTCCTTTGTAATTTTATATTTATACATTTCTCTAGCCAAATTATACCACATGTACTCATGTACTCTTTTTCTGCTTTTGCTGTCATGTAAGTGTGGTCATATGAATCACTCTCATGTATCCAATTATAACACTGCTAAATAGGAAAAAATGACCACCAATGGTAAAGCTAGCCTAGTCAATATGGTTATTTTTTGTAAAACCATAAACAAAATCAGGAAGAAAAAATTTTCAAGCATTTTGCTGACAGCTCTTGTATAACCTAGTAATCACAAGGGAATAGGAAACATTTTCTTAACCTACACATATCCTTTTTTAGATGAATATGAAAACCCTATTAACCATAGATTTGCCTCCAAACAAATCCATCTCGGGGGTTGAAGCCAAATTATGTCTCCATTCTTTAAGATGCCTATTTTGTTAACTTTGGAGATGTGGTAGCAACTTGTTTTTCTCCTGACCCCAAAGACACTACCACTGATCAACAGATTTGTTGATAGTATCTTCAGAAAGCAATCTAAGGCACTGTCCTTCTGTGAGGGAGATATACCATCCAGATACTGATGCAGATCATCTTTTGATCCCTTGCTGTGGGTGAAGAGAAAATTAGCACACTTCAACATTATTCCAACTTGCCTTTTCTCTAGTTTCCGACTTTTGTTATATTATTCTGATAATGTAAAGATATATAATAGCCATAGTTTTACTGTAACCATATTTTTTGTAATTGTTTAGTCTTAATTTTATATTTAAATTTGTTTACTACATGTCACAGTTGTTTTTTTTAACCATAGATTCTTTATTCCCAAGTTTTAAATTTTGATATATTGCTTAGTTAGCCTGCTTTTGTTTTCGAGAAGTTTTTCTTTTTCTGATGAACAAATTATGGATGCTATAGTCTGTCGGTTTTTGCATGTTTGAGAATGCCTGTTGCCTTTACATTTGAAAAACAACTTATCTGGGCATAAAATTTTTTGGTCATACTTCCCTTCAATTTTGTACAGACTGTTCCATTATTTTCTGGTAGTAAGAGTTATTGCTATGGACAAGTTTGAGGAAGACCCAATTTCCCTCTTTAACACTAACACTACGCTTCTTTTTTCTGCTTGGATGCCTGTATTATTTCTTTATCCTTAAAGTTAAGTAATTTCACCAGGATGTGCCACAGTAGTTTTTTGTATTGATTTTTCTTGGCAGTAGGCAGTTGTTTTTTTTTCTGTCTACAGACTCAAATATTTAAAAAAAAAATGTCTTCTAGTAGATTTTTGAATACTTTTGCTTCTTTTTTTCCCCCTATATTCTTTAGGAAGATGGAGTATTCTATATATTTTACACATAATTGTCTTTTCTATAAATTATATACCTTTGTGATTTTTTTGCATTTCCTCTGTATACTTTTCTATAGGCTTAATTTCAAATTGTACTTATTCTATTTTTATTATTTAATTATGACATCCCTGTATGTGGTATGTTCTTTTCCAAATTGCTATATGACTTTGTTTATCATCTTCCTTTGTTTTATAATTCCTTTTTATATCTTATTAGGCCTTTTAAGTTTTAAATTTCTTTGAAGCTGTAACTATTTGTTTAAATTATTTAACTTTCATTTAGAAAAAGATAAATTTGGGGCGCCTGGGTGGCGCAGTCGGTTAAGCGGCCGACTTCAGCCAGGTCACGATCTCGCGGTCCGTGAGTTCGAGCCCCGCGTCAGGCTCTGGGCCGATGGCTCAGAGCCTGGAGCCTGTTTCCGATTCTGTGTCTCCCTCTCTCTCTGCCCCTCCCCCGTTCATGCTCTGTCTCTCTCTGTCCCAAAAATAAATAAATAAACGTTGAAAAAAAAAATTAAAAAAAAAAAGAAAAAGATAAATTTATCTTTATTTTCCTTTTGTTTGTCTTCCCTTCCTTTCTCTCCACCCCCTGTCTGCTGTCTCTCTGGGTTGTGTTTTATGTTGTTTCTTTTCTGATTATTACATCTCTCTGGTTGGGGCCTCGTGTCCTTAAAGAACAGAATGGGAAGGGGTGGGGGATGAATTTGGGAATCCCACTGCTTCAGTTTAGTTGATTCTACTGGAACTCCTCTCTAGATCTCCTCTTCCTTTTGCTCAATCTTAGCTTGACATCAAGACGTTGAACCAGCTCAAGGGAGAGCCCCTTCCTCATATACTCTTCCTCATCTCCTGATTTCTATGACTCAGAAAGAGGGCATGTAGAAAAAAACAGAAGGCCAGACCAACTTTGCCTTCAGCTCTGCCTCCCTACCATCTTGAGCCAAGCAGGATCGGTATGGGAACATTACCCATTTCTCTTGGGGCTGGCACATGCCTGTGTGGACTTGACTACTCTAAGTGAAGGAACACTGAATGGAACCTTTGAAACTTTGATGCTCACTTATAGGGAAATCTGTTCTAGATGTAAGCATTTCATGGGTTTCATTGAGCGTCAATGACTTCCCTCATTGCACTTTGAGTTGTAAGCTGGACTTGCCACTTTTTTCATGAAATAAGGACTGACAAATTAGGTCACTTTGGGTTTTCAGACTTGGATATTTGGCAGCACTTTTTTTTTTTTCTCAAAAATGAATGAAATGAGCTGTCACATCAAGCAAAATAACTGACAATATTTGTTGACAACAATAAAATTTAAGCTTTCAAGAGAAAATTAGAACTTTTGAAATCTTGTATTCACCACTATGAACTTGACAGCTTCTCAATACATAAATACTTTTCTGATGAGACTGGTGGTGATTTTAATAAACACAATTTTTTGATATTGCATAATAAATTGTGTCAACACTTGTAAGATTTGCATAACTGAATAAACCAGCATTTTCCAAATGACCAACCATGCATGCTACAAAATCATGGATGGGGAAAAACTCCTTTCAAAGTGCAAGGGAAACCAGTGGATTTTAATATAACAGAGTATTAACTGATATAGTTTGTCATTCTACAATGCAATTAACCTTTAAGAAACTACTACTACTACTTACTGAGTTTTGGTGTAATATCAAAGAAGAGTATCTAGAATTATCTGGAAACGCATTTAAAATAATCTTCCTTTTACAATTGCAATTAGTTTGATGCCAAATTTTCCTCAAATATTTTAACCAAAATGATATATAGCAATAGATGGAACATAGATGGAGTATCTAGCTGTTTTCTACTAAGCCAGACAACAAAGAGATTTGCAAAACCGTGAAACAGTGCCACAATTCTCATTAAGTTTTCTTATTTGGGGAAACACAGCTTTCTTTACTAAAATATGTTATTTGAGCATGAAATGGCGTTATTTTAAAATAAATTAATTGTTTTAAAATTTTATTTAGTTCCTAATACTATCAATATTACAAATATAACTCGCTTACACAAAAGATCTTTAAAGTTCTTAATTATTCTTAAGAATGTAAAGAAATCCTTAGACCAACAAGTTTGAGAATCTCTGTGCTACATGTACCGTGCAGTGAAGCAGTAAGTGTGCAGGAGTGCAAAATTAGAGAATTATGGGTTGGATTTGGCATTGTACCAGAATAGCATGCAAACCACAGGCTGCTAAGATTCAAATGGGAGAAGCAGAGGAGGAACAGTGTGAGAAAAGGTGTAGTAGTAGGAACAGTCAGGATAGGTTTGGAGGACTTTGAGTAAAGCAGTAAAAGTCTCTTTCATGTTTCAAATCTCTCCTTCCACTTCACCTCTCTGACTTTTTTTTTACTTTTTTTAATGTTTATTTATTTTTCAGAGAGACAGACAGAGCATGAGTGGGGGAGGGGCAGAGAGACAGGAGGACAGAACATCAGAAGCAGGCTCCATGCTCTGAGCCATCTGACCCTGCTGTTACATTTCCTTCTCTTTCTGGCATTTCTCTGACCACAGCTGGGAAAAGTTATCTGCTTTTAAGGACTCATGTAAATATATTGGATCCACCTGGATAATTGACACTAATCTCCCGTCACAAGGTCCATCACCTCAATCACATCTACAAAGGCCTTTCTGCCATGTAAGGCAACATCTTCTCAGGTTCTGGAGATTAGAACATGAACATCTTTTAGGGACCATTATTCTGCCTAACTCTCTTGTTCTGTTGGGGCTACTGTCACAAAATACCATAGATGAGTGGTTTATAAACAACAGAAATTCATTTCTCACAGTTCTGGAGGCTGGGAAGTCCAAGATCAGGGTGCTGGCACAATGGTGTTGTAGTGAGGGCCCACTTCCTCATTCTTGGCTGGTGCTTTCTTGCTGTGTTCTCACCTGATGGGAGAGGCAAGGGAGCTCTCTCAGTCCTCTTCTATAAGGGCACTAATCCTCTAATCACCTCACAAAAGCTCCACCTCCTAATACCATCACGGTGGGGGTTAGGATTTAACATAAATTTGGGAAGTATGCAAATATTCGGACAATAGCAGTACCACACCATGGGATATTTTTGATCAAGGAAGTGGCATAATTACAGTGGTATTGAAGGAAAAAACTTTCCCAGTAATTACCCAGTATGGAACTCATCTAGTGCCAAATTTGGGGCAGAGTTTTGCCTCTGTGGAAAACAACTTCCATGTGTTTTTAGTGCAATACAGACGAGGCATCCAGGAGGACATCTGCTGATATTCAGGCAGGCAGATCACTTTCCCATTGCCTGTCCTACCCAGATTTTTCATTCAGGTCACCAAAGGGACAAATATCCATGGCTTCTAGAAGGAGCTTCTTCTCTGCATTTTTTTTATCTCTCAAGTGTCCTTTCTAGATCTTAGAAACTAACTTGTCAGCAGAGTGGGAAATTTCTCCCTCTCAGGAACTGATATCTTAGGGGTGACCTTTTACATGAAGCATTTCATTAAATAGTGTGGTGAGGTTACCAAACCTTGAAGTCAGAGGCAACGTCTGAATGCTTGTTGGGTTACCACCAGTACTCTGAAGAAAGAACAATAAGCTTAAATGCTTTTGAGTAATAATTTATCAGGAAGACTAAATTATGAAAGAATGCTTGAATTAGACAAAAGAAACCCACAAGATGGATGTAGCTCAAATATTTTCCAACATAAGCTTCCTTTTGAAAATAATTTAAATGTTTGCCTTCTCATTGCATTTATGTGTGATATGTTGGATAATTAACTAAGGAGGACAGAAAGGGAATCCCTGTGGTATAAATTCCAGGAACAACTGCAGACTCATCCAAATGTCACTTATAAATCAGAACAAGCCCAAATTCATAAGCTAGTCTCAAAGTACCCTATAAAAACAAGACAAAATAACAAAAGCTATTATTTCCACCCCCTCAAAATATTTATAAAAAACAGGATGCTGTTTCTTCAGTCAGGCAAACAACTTACCAAGGGCATTCTTAACTATTGATGCTAAATATTACAGCATAAGAATGAACTTTGGTATTTTGCAACGTACATTGTGCAACGTATATGATCTATTCAATTCTCATGGGTGTGTGCAGTTTACTATTTTTGCTTACACATGTATTCTTGGGTAAAAGATGTCATAAAGTTAGGATTGTTCTTAAGCAGAATAGGCAATATTTGCTCTAACAGCTTCTCCCTTCTCTTTTGCAAGATATTCTTTTCCTAAGGAAGTTATCACAGCCCTTTTTCCTGCAACCTACTCTGGGCAGCCAGGGATGTTGTTACCTAGAGATCTCTACTTTCCTATTCCTATTCCATTGACAATTCTCTAACTTACTGCCTCCTTTTGGACCCAGCTAATTGGTGTTATGCAGTTAATTGTAGACAGATGTAACCTAATGGACTAGGTTCTCTTCCAGGCAATATAACATGCATAACCTGGTAGACACTCCCACGCTTACCTTAGTTGTTTTTTTTTTAGCTCATAATTTGGGTAGTTTTCTTCTTTTTGATATGTGAATAAAAGATGAGGTAGGCAGTGACACTTAAACAGGAGGGCCAGTGAAAAGTGCTAAATTTGGGGACCCTGGGCATCTAGCTAAGAGAATACATGTACTGAGGCTCCAGAGAGTAAGTATGAGAAGGGTGGAGAATGTTTCTAAAAGTAAAATTTTAATATATTAAAGAAAAATTATGTCTACATAATAGATTTGCCTGTGCTTCTGGCCTGCCATTTGTGTGAGCCTTTTTAGTGTCCATCAGTTGTGCTTGAGGAGGCAGTTAGGGTCAGCCATGTGTCTCAATAGTTTGTGTCCTACCATGGGAATCATTAGTATTTGGTGATTTAATTTGCGATTTCAAGAGGTAGAAACAAGGAGCCTTGGGAGATGAGAGTTTGTAGCATTCCACATCCAGATCAACCAAGGGAAACCTCTTATTAAAACCCTCAGAATACTCTTCAACCTTGGAATCCTGCAATGGCAAATCAAGGCCTCAAGTACAAACTGTGTAATAAACTGGACACCGGGTTTGTTTCTCCATTGTTTCACACACTCATGCTTTGCAGGTGCCCCTTCTTTTTTTGAAGTTTATTTATTTTTTTAGAGAGAGAAAGAGAGAGAGAGAGAGAGTGAAGGAGGGGCAAAGAGAGAGGGAGAGATAATCCCAAGCAGGCTCCATGGTGTCAGTGCAGAGACTGATGCAGGGTTCGATTCCACAAACCATGAGATCATGACTGGAGCCAAGATCAAAAGTTGGACACTTAACTGACTGCCACCCAGGTGCCCCAAAAGGTGCTGCTTCTTAATACCAATTTATTTTGACTCCTCATGTATTCTTTTTAATGACTTAGAATGTGAATTTTGTATTTATTAAGGTTAAAATTGGGGCATTACCAAATTATTTCATGTGGGTTTGTGATTTGAAGAGAACAGAACTGAACTAGGATTGAGGACACTTGGATTCTAGTTTATATTAATTGAGATAATGCTATCTGTTATATCAATCCCCAAATCTATAAAGGCTTAAATCCAATGGAAGCTTACTTCTCATTCAGGAAAATCCAAACGTGCATTAGTGATTTGTGTGCTGCTTTCTTCCAAGTGGTGATATAGGGCCCAGGATCCTGTTACCTTATGGCTCTGTCATCTTTAAGATGCCGCTTCCAAGATTTCTATGTTTGTCAGTAACAAGCTGAGAGAAAAAGAAAGAGCAGAAAAGGATTTTTTAGTTTTTAAAGTGAGTTTTTATACGCCAGACCTGAAAGAAGTACATGTAAGTTTGGCTCTCCATTTCTTTGACTAGAACTCAGTAATGTGGCCACAACTAACCACATGGGAGGTTGAGAAATTTAATCATACACTGTAACAAGGAATTAAAGGAGATGGGTTGGGTGACCAGCTAGCCAGCCCTTGCCATAATCCTAGTTCTACCAGTATTTATTTGATCTCCCCTTTTTATTATTTTAAGAACCATTTCTTACCCATTTTTAAAACCCCCAGAATGGTTATAGAAGTGTCTTATATATAGTACATGCTCACTACTGCATGCTTGCCTGACAGACAATAAATGAGTAAATAGTGCTGGGTGTTCATAATTCTGCCCTACAGCCCAGGGCATTGAGTGTTACTCTAGAAGACTGAGAAATACTTTCCCTCAATAAGTCACAATATATCCCAGGATAATTTTGACTGTGGAGGAGACTAATACTGCTACAGCCAGGACCAGGCATGTCAAGAGGAGAAACTGATATCAAGAGCTGAACATCAAAGAAAGTCTGGTGAAAGAACCAGTTAACTAATTGGGACAGGAGGGTAGACTCTTCAGCATTCTGCTTGCTATCCAGGTTCCCTGGAAGAATACCAACTACTCTGGATGGGTTGGAGAGTCTCTGACTAGGCTGGGAGCTTCATTGACAAAGGAGAACAAGCATGATCATCATGAAAAACAACAGACCCATAAGGATGTCACAGCTTATAGAAGAACTTGCAGAACACTTCATGGGAATAATTAATCAGGGATAGGACACAGAAAAAACAAAAGTCTTCCTTCAAAAATTATAGGTGATGTGGGATGTTGTAGGGGACTGTGCTGGAATCCTGTTACGTCTACACCTAGTACCTCTGTTTTGTGAGAGTTTATAGCCGATATGCTTAGCAGGGTATATTAATTTAGGAGTCGGAAAGATCTGGGTTATGTTTACTGACCTGTGATTAACTAGCAGTGTGACTTTGGGCAAGTCAATCTAGCTCCCTGGACCCCATCTGTATCATCTAAATAAGGAAGAGTTGGATTAAATGTGTGATGATCAATACATGGTCACACCCCACCCAGTGTCCATAGCAGACATTGAAAATCAAACATAATTCTTTTTTTTTTTTTTTGAGCCCATATATGATCCCAGGATCCTTATCAACATCCCATCTAGGTTATCCTATCAATTAGAAATGACACATGTATGTTAACTATGTCTTTCATTTTCTGTGTTCTGACACTTTGATATTTGGGCCTTGCTGTCCCTAGAGGGACTGCCCCTCCAAGAGTTAGTCAAGTTCTAGAGATAGAAAACAATTTGTCCAGGTGCACACTTTTCAAATGCAAACTGGTGAAGATAGAGCCCACATCACAATTACCTCTTTTATCAGGCTGCCACACTCTGAGCCATTATCCACCTGTCCGAATCACCCCCAGGGCCAGGTACCAGAAAACTAGGTGTAGTGCCTAAATCCTAGACTCTGCTGAAGTTATTCAAGCTAGTCAATCCTAAACCTGCTTACCCGGCCTTGCCCATTTCTTCCCCCCAGCTCTTGTCCAGAATTCTCCCCTCTCCCTCTGCCTGATGTCTGTACTTTCTCCATATGCCTCTCCTTCATGGCATCACATACCCTGTTGTCTTGGGATCTGTGAATAGTACATACTGCCTTTTCAATGGCAGCTGTTTCCTGATCTGTTGGCCCTACTATACCTAAATAACAATAAAAACTATATTAAAACAATATAGGATGGGAACTACCTGCCTGAAGCAGATGATCTCTGGAGTCCTTTCTAGATCTAGCAATCTTTTATCCTTTTAAGTAGGAGAGTATTGTACTATCTATAAAATACATATTTCAGTTATAATATCTTAATCTTCTGAAGTTACCTAGTCTTTCATAACAAGGATTTTCTGAATCAGGAGTTACACCAAGATAAATTGCACAGAAGCTCTTCTGTAAAAGTCACTGCTAAATGGGGGTAGGGGAAAATCTTGGTTCTGTTTTGGGAAACCTTTCATTTTTCTCTATTACAGCTGAAGGATAAGAATCATTCTAGTGTGCCTTCTTGGACTTCTGTTAATTTTTCTATTTTTCTTCCCTCTTCTCCTTTTTTTCTTTTTGGATTCAGAGTAGCAAACAGTCCCTCCTGATAATGTGATTGTGTACATTCAGAATGTATGTTAGGAAGAATTAGGAAAATATTGGGATAGGATTATTCCTATAAAGGGCACATGGGCATAATGCTTCACGTGTAGTGGATACTTAAATACTTTTAAATCAATAATAAACGTGTTTTTGCTATTATATTACACGGTTTTGGTTTTTTTTTTTTGGTTTTTTTTTGGATTTTTCTCCCCACCCTCCTCGAAAACTCATATATTGAAGTCCTAACCCTGGTACTTCAGAATATAATCTTATTTTGAGATAGTTTTTACAGAGGTCACCAAGGTAAAATGAGGTCATTAGGGTGGGCCTTAATCCAATATGACTGATGTTCTTAAAAAAGGGGAAATTTTGGACACAGATACTCATATAGGGAGAATGCCATGAGAACAAGGCAGAGATAAGGATGATGCTTCTACAAGTCAAATGATGCCAAAGATTGCCAGCAAACCACCAGAAGTTAGAGTAGAAACCTGTAACAATCTTACAACTCTCAGATGGAACCAACTCTACCAACATCTTGATCTCAGACTTCTATCCTCTAGAACTGTGAGACAATAAAATTGTTTTTTGTTTTAAAAAAAAAAAAAAGAAGGGGCGCCTAGGTGGCTCAGTCGGTTGACCGACTTCAACTCAGGTCACAATCTCACGGTTCGTGAGTTCGAGCCCCGCGTCAGGCTCTGGGCTGATGGCTCGGGGCCTGGAGCCTGCTTCCGATTCTGTGTCTCCCTCTCTCTCTGCCCCTCCCCCATTCATGTTCTGTCTCTCTCTGTCTCAAAAATAAACATTAAAAAAAATTAAAAAAAGAAGTTATATTTATAAAGGGAACATTACTGAACATTTACTGAATGAACTAAATTCTGCTCTAGTACAGACCGTAATTCATTGGGTAGTCTTAATCTATTGGCTCTTTCTTCTTTGCCCTTACTCTTATTTGAAAACAATTATTCCAATCTCGTTCCAAATACTTATCACAGAAATATTGTGAGGAATAATTTGGCTTTCAAAATAATTCTGGAAATTGCTTTCAGTTACTCTAAAAATTGCAGGGAGAGATTACGTGCAAGGCAAAATTACACAAGCATTTGTGTAAGAGAATAAACAAGGAAGCGCATTTCAGTTCAAGAATTAATACTTCGGTTCAAGTTGTAATAAAAGAGTACCATAGTTGGTGAAATTGAGAAAGCAGTTCAGAGTCTTTTTTCCCCCCAGTAAGTTCTGTGTGAATGTTTTACTTTTGTTATTATGTTTGGTTCTGAAAATGCACCCATTCACAAAACCTCTGGGCAGTTGGACAAAACGGATTTACAATCCTCTGAAATGGGCCAGGACTCAAGTTGAAGTACAGTTGGCTAGACATTTAAAATGAGGAAATGGCTCACCTTTCTTCTCCACCTGAAGTTGCCAAGTGAAACCTTCCAAATTCTCAAGAGAAAGATGCCTCTGATTCATATTCCATTTGCCTTTAAGTCTTGCTCAAAGTATTTTTTCAAGTGGAAAAAGAATGAAAGAAACATTAAAACGCAGAGACCTAATTTTGTGTGGAAGGAAAACACAGCTGTGGAATCTCTTGGCTACAACTGTATAAAAATTAAAAAGAAAACAACCTAATTTATTCAGTGCCTTAATTTGAAGATGAAGCTAAGGTGTTAAAGAATGGTGGGTCTGTGGTGCTTCTCCAGAAAGAGGGCTTTTTCTCTGTGTCTCAAAGACATTTGAAAGATTGCAAAACTTTCTTCTAGAACCACTTCAAAGGTTGGAGAAACTACCACCTTTGAATACTTCAAATCTCTCTGTCAAATAGAAACTTAATGCCTCCCCCCCCCAAAAAAAAAATGCTAGCTCTAGATATACAAGATAAAAATATTCACAGAACTCTTTTGGAGTATATGAGTTTGGCTGGCTTTGCCTTGCTTTAGGATCAACACAATTCTGAAAATCTTCCCTCGATAATAGATCCAGGTGAGTAGCATTCTCTCTTACCAGGAGAACTAAATTGATATCATCTGTAGGGCCAAGAATACTGGAACATGAAAAATAGATAAAAATTAAAATACCAGGGATACCATTTAGCTTGTCTCTTTCATTTTCAGGACCAGGCATCCAAGGGTCAGAGATGGAAGTGCACAATTAAACTAATCCTGAGGTCTCTTCTGCAGGTAGCAGGAAAACAGCCTCACACCCAGGTCTCACTCCAGGTCTTGCCCATCCTCTTGCTGCAGTGATGAGGGAAGTGTGAATGTCTCACTCTAGAAGTTTCACTGGAATCCTCGCCTGGTTGAATGAGTCTGAGAAGAAGAGTTGGGGTATCCTTAATGCCACCCTCTTCCATCCACAACCCTCTGCCCTTACAGACTCTAAAACATCAGGGGATTCTGGGTAAGGCCTTTGAGCAAACTGTGGGGATGGTAACTAAAAATGCAAGGTGAGGAAGCAAGGTCTGGCATTCCCAAAGGCAACACTATATGGCATTTGCATTTCCCCCCTTCCTTCATTTTGTCTTTCCTTTTGAGCAAGACTTAAACATGACAAGAGTCAGAGGCATCTTCTTTCTCTTGAGAATTTGGAAGGTTTCACTTAGCATTTTCAGGTGGAGATGAAAGGTAAACCTTTTCCTCATTACATTCTGATATGTCTAGCCAATTGTTCCTTAACCTGAGTCCTGGCCCATGTCAGATCCCTGGCTATACATCCATTTTCCCTAACTGCCCAGAGGTTTTATGAGATGTGTTTTCAAAACTGTAATTCTAGAGAAGCACACGAATTTTAGTGTGCATAGAAATCATCAGGAGGGCTTGTTAAAATAGATTGCTAGGCTCCATGCCTAGTTTCTAATTCAAGAGGTCTGGGGTGGAGCAAGTTCTAGCAAGTTCCCAGGTGATACTTCTGTCAATCCCAGGGTTCCAGGCTAATGAGAGCAATGGGAGCCAGACTTAGGTGTGCTCTTATTCACCTCACCTGCTATTACATCTCTGATAAACCCCTTTCTTCTGAGCCTCAAAGAGCAAGAGAGATGGTGACTATGATAGGAATTGTCATCTTCTCATAGGAAACCTTGTTGATTTTATTCCTAACTCCTTAGCAATTATTCTAGACTTTGTTTTAAGCTCCTTATTTATCCTCACACATAACTGACCACAAAATTCTATACGTTCTGTATCTACAGAGGCCCTTCCCTTCCCCTCCAGCCCTTTCTGGACTTGATTCAGGTCAACATTATCTCTCACTTGTAGCAGCTTCCTATTTGGTCTCTCACTCCACTATCAGAGCAAATTTTATGAAACAGAAATCTGATCCTAAAACTGTGCTGCTCAGAATTGCTCCAGGGTGTTACTTTGCCCTCAGGAGCACACTTACAGGTACCTACTGTTTGCAATGCTTTGTTCTTTTCACTAATGCTCACAAAAAGCAGGTGGGGAAGAAAGAATGAGGCACAGAGTTAGGGAGCTACCTAAGGTTACATACCCAGATAGTTAGGATGACAAATTTGGAAGAGAAAACAGGTCTTTGGTTGTCTGTCCAGGTTTCTTACCATTGACCCTCACAACAGTCTTCAGTTGTTTTTCAAATATATGATGTAGGGCATAGATATTAAATGAATAAGCCCTAACTTCAGGCAATCCTAATTAGAGACTTGGTTCTGCCGTGAGATAACCACGAGTAAGCTTCTGACCCTTTTGAGCCTTCACTTCCTTATCTTGAATTAACCTCAGTTAGCTTTTATTCTTCTTCTAAGAACCTCTCTCTGGTAGCAGCATCCTAAGATGATCCCAGTGCTCACTGCCTCCCAGTATCCATGCTTTCATGAAACTGTCTTCCTCACAGTGTGGGTAGAACCTGCTTCTGGCTTCTAACTAGTAGGTTTTGCTAGCTCTCCCGTGATTCCGTTGGGTTATAAAAGGATTTTACAGGTGAAAATAAGGTTTCTAATCAGCTTGACTTTGAGTTAATCAAAAGGAGATTATCCTAGATGGGCATACTCTAATCAGGTAGCCTTTTAAAAGAGAGATTCTTCTTTCCCTAAGCTCACAGACTCCAGACAGCGAGGATTCTCTTTCTCCTGTTGGCCCTGAAAAAGCAAGTTGTCACGAGATCCACAGATATAAGGAAATAAATTCTTCCAACATCCACATGAACTTAGAAGATGACCTTTGAGTCTCAGATGAGGCTGCAGCCAGCCTTGAATGCTGTCTTGTGAGACCCTAAACAGAGGAACCAGCTAAGCTTTTCCTGGACTTCTAACCCATGCAAGCTGTGAGATAATGCATGTTGCTTTAAGCTGCTAAATTTGCATTAATTTGTTACACACCAATAGCTTACTAATATATCCCCTTTTGTCTGTAATTTCGCCACCAAATCCCCCCATTAAAAAAAGGGGAGGTAGGGTGAAAGGAGTGAAGAGCAGACTCTACAGACCAGATGGATCAGCTTTAGAAGCAACCACATCTTCTACTTTTTTCATAATTCTGCATTTTTCTACAACTCCAGGAGGGAAGCACTGTGCCAAATGAAGAGGGCAGAGCTGCCTCTACTTCTCAGGCTCTGGGCAGCCAGGAGAGGGCAGCTGCAATCACTCAAGTACTAAGGGCTTCCTAAATACCTAGGGGGTATAGTACCCTGGGCTGGGCTATGTGGGGCTTAGAGACACAAAGGGTGCCATGCTGTGCTCTGTTCTTCACTTGAGGCCTGTAAGAACTGGTGGAGGAAATCCTATTAACATATGGGGGAAGTTAAGTAACAAAGAATGCCATATCAAGTGATTGGCATAGGCAATAAGGCATGGGATAGAGAAATGGAGCTGGGTTTGAAGACACAACACCCACGGTCATAGTTTGATTCTGTCACTAATTGTTACAGGACTATAGCTCCTCAAAGCACCTCTTTGGATTCTGGTTTCCTTGACTCTAACATGAAGGACTGGGATATTCAGTAGTTTTTAATTTCTTCAGAAGTATATTGCCTTTCTTAAGTGAAATACAGAAAATGGATGAAAAGCAGAGCTGTTGTGGTTAAAGCAGAGGACCCAGCATAAAAAAAAGCACTGCAGGGGTGAGCCCCTTCTGCCTCAAGTATCCTGTGTGCTACCAGGTATCCTGCAGGCTAGCAGAGGCTAGCAGGGATATGGATTGGGAGGATGCATGCGGGTTTGAGCACCTTGTCACTTTCACAAGTGTGGTAGGGCTGGTGGGGAAAGGATGCTGCATGAGAGTGTGAATCCTCTATTCCTGCAAGGTCTCTGGAGCACACATCAAGACACACGTTTGTCTCATTTCTATCCATCTTCTACTTATAGCTGGTCAGCTGGAACTTTCTCTGATGCTTCAAAGACTGCTCTATTCTGAATCCCAGCTAGAAATATGGAACTATTTCCATATTTCCATATAAATTTCATTCTCATTAAATGAACAGTTCCAGGAAAATCAGTTTGTCACTTTGGAGGCAGTGCATCAGATAGAAACTCCCACCCCACCCACACTCCCATCCCCAATACTCAGTTTCACAATTTGTTCATATATTACAAATATCCTCACCCCCTTCAACCCTCCCCAGCATTATAAACACAGACAATAGGAAAAAAAAAATAAAAATAAAAACTCTCTCCAGACCTTGTAATTTGGGCCCTGGCCAATTCCTTGTATAAGAGCTTTTGCACTTGTACTTGTGTGTCTGTAAGTTGTCTCAGATAGCTTTTTTTAAAGTTTATTTATTTTTGAGAGAGAAATAAAGTGAGAGCATACACATGTTGGGGGGAGTGAGAGTGGGAGGGCAGGACAGGGAGAGAGAGAGAGAGAGACTGACATTGTGGAGCTTGATGAGGAGCTTGAAGCCAAGAACCCTGAGATCATGACCTGAGGTAAAACCAAGAGTCAGGTACTTAACTAACTGAGCAACCCAGACACCCCTCAGAGAGCTTCTAATTGTGTGTAGAGACAAGACTGATAGAAAGGATGTTCATTTTTTTATCCAGTACATTAACTGAACACCTACCATGTGCCTGGTGCTGTTCCAACCACTGTGAATTCAGCAGTGAACTGGATAGACATCATTTCTACCTTCACAGAGCTTATATTCTTTAGGGGAAGAGAAGAAATGAAAAATAGTTGTGTGTAGTAGACATAAACAAGCAAGATAATTTGGAGTAAGGCCACTGAAAGAAATAAGCTCAATGGGAGGAGGAGATGAGCTCAACGGGAATCGAGTGAGGTGGGAGAAACGCCTTTGGTAGAGTCATTCCAGAAAGGCTTCCCTGAGGATACAGCACTAAGCTGAAACCTTGAGGCTGACAAAAAGCCAAGATTGCATGAAATGATTACTAAGAAAGAAGTGATAGCAAAATCAAAGGCCCTGAATCAGGAGAAGGCTCAGCCTGTTGGAAGAACTGAAAGTCCAGTCAGGCTGGAATGTGGGGAAGCCTAGGAGGATGGCATGCCATTCCAGTGGGTCCAGCTCTCTTCTGAAAGAGTTAGCTGGAAAGGGAGGGTGGGGATTAAACCCTGGCTCTGCGACTCACAACTCATTAGCAGTCTGTAAGAGTCAGTACATTTTCCCAAGTTCCTGAATCAGCCACAGTGGCAATAACTTGACCCCCAAACAGTGCAGGCTGGTTCTTTTGGCCACTGTAATGATTAGATTGAATTGCTTCAGTGTCGTAGGTTGGGTACCCTGGGAAACAGACTCTGAGATTGAGATTTGAATGCAGGAAGTTAAGTGGGAGGCACACTTAGGCACATAACTTCCTGTGAGGGAGTGACGAAAGCAAGGTTTGGTGAATCAGTTGAAAGAAGGGCCACAGCCAGTCATAAGGTGCTCTGAAGCTGGGAAAGCCATTAGAATTATCTCAAACTGAAGTATAGTCATCAAGCCTTTTATCTCCAAGTTGACTAGTCATCAGATGTGGGCTGTCCCCAGGTAGGGAATATAACTGTGGGTGAGATAGCTCCCTTCCACTAAGGGGAAGGCCTAGAGAAGGACTTGGCTGTGAACCATCACAGGCAACTCTCCCACCACTGGGAGAATTCAGATGTCTTTCCTACCGCAGGCACTGGTTGGCAAACCATAGTCTTCACTATCCTCAGAGATGTTCTGGGTGACATGAAAGTAACCAGCTATCATTGAGACTTAACTACCATTGAGATTTTTCTGCAGCTGAGATCATGGCTCTTGAGAAGAGACCATTTTGCAATTTTCCTTGGGAAAAATTTATTTTAAATTTTTTTTCTGAAATTTCTTAGAAGTGTTTATATATTTAAAGGTATTCTGTTACGTAGTGCTCTAGGCAAATAGCTTCTGTAAT